GTATGAAATGAGAGATATTTTAATTTCAAAGCTCTGCTGACATTCACCAAGTGCTCTCAAGGTTTATATCAACAGAATGCACTCTTGAAATTCTACTTTGAATTCAGTTTGTGCAATCTGTTCTCTAATATGCTGGTGTTTTAGTTTTTCTCAGGAATGTTGTTAACCTTTATATTTTAATATATTGCTAGACGTTATGAACAATCAAAAATGTAGCTAAAGATGCTTTGCTTCTATTTTTTTATTGCTGGTGTTATAGTTTGGCCAAGAAATAGGAAGCTGTCATTTCCAAGGGGAGAATGAGAAAAACTCAAAAGAAAGTATCTTGAGCCCAGGATAAGCTCAGAGACCTGCTGTGGCTCAGTCTTGCTCTTTAAGCTCTGTCAGGCTTTAAGCTATTTCTCTGTATATGCAAATACAGTGAAAGTAGTTCCTAGCCTGATGGCATAGCACAAAAGCTCAGTACAGTACGTGTGTGTTAGTGTGTAAGACTGTGTGTGACTAAGGGTCTAAGTGTAGTAAGTGGGTAAGAGTGTGGGATTGTTTGTGTGTTCTCCTTTCTGAAAATGAACAGCTTTCAGCCATTCAGACGGTACCATGGATTCCCTGCCCACAGTTGGACCATATATTAGTGAAATATCTGTGAATTTCTGACACACGGTTACCAATAAAAGGGTTTGTGAAACATCAGTAACAGCAGAAGCCCTCCCTTTCTAAGTCTCTCCTGGACTGCCCATGTGCCATGTCCAGCATTATCACACAATCACAGAAATGTCGAGCTGAAAGGGACCTCAAGAACTCATTAAGTCTTGCCATTGCAATATGTCAGGACCAACTAAAGCTAGACCATCCCTGACAGGTGTGTGCCTACCCTGTTGTAAAAACCTCCAATAACAGGGATTCCACAACCTCCCTTGAAAGCCTGTCCCAGAGCTTAACTTCCCTAACATCTAACTTAAATCTCCCTTGCTGCAGATTAAGGCCATTGCTTCTTGTCCTACTTTCAGTGGACATGGAGAACGACTGATCACTGTTCTCTTTATAACAGCCCTTTATATATGTGAAGATTATCAGATCATCCTGCAATCTTCTTTTCTCAAGACTAAACATACCCAATTTTTTTAACCAGGTCAGGTTTTCTAAACCTTTTATCATTTCTGTTGCTCTCCTCTGGACTCACTCCAGTTTGTCCACACCTGTCCTAAAGTGTGGTGCTCAGAATTGGCCACAGCGCGCCAGCTGATGTCTCATCAGTGCGGGAGAGAGCAGGACAATTGTGCACACACTCCATCTATGCTCAGCTACAGAAAACCCTTTGGTCACAATTTCTCCGTCATTTCTCTACATTTTCCCTGACCCAGTATTTGCTTCCTTCAAGTAACATCTATTTAAACTGAGAGAGCAGGTAAAAGGCCTGCTCTTCTATCAGCCATCGTGGGCTGCTGAGGCAATTGCGCCTGGGGCATGCTTTGCTCCAGGAGGCCGGATACTTGACAGCAGAGAGCACTACAGTTGGCAGTGAGAAAAGGTCATTAAGTTCATCAAAGTGCATGCTATTTTTGGCAGGCTAGTCTCTTAGGATGCCATATACAGCAGGTGTTGAAACAAATCCATACTTTAGCCTTAACAACCTTGCCTGGTGGGCTATGATGTTCTATTCTGGTTCTTATACTGACCCTGTCACTATGGTATCTGAGCACCCAGGACGACAACAAAGGTGCCACAGAAATATATTTTTTTTCTATTACTCCAATGGCTCCTTCCTGTCTTTTGTTATTTTGGATGATGCCTTAGTCAGATTAGTGACCTCTATTAAGTCTCACAAGCATGTTTTTTGTTCTCTGTATTTTTGATTTGTTACTTATCCCCATACCAGGATGCAATCTATTCCCAACATTCTCATTCATTCTCATATTACTGCTAGCAACACCATACAGTGAGCACAGGACTGTGGGGTTCAAGGTTACTGAAAAGGATGTGAATGTCAGTCTGTTGCCTGCTGGGAAGATGTGCTTGGGGATTCATCAGATAAACACTGTTTAATATTTGATGTTCATTGTAAGATGCATGGTAAAAGAGTCTTTTTATTTTATTTTACTTTATTCTATCTCTGGGGGCTCTGTCATTTATAGTTTCTTTAAATTTGTTACTGTTGATATCAGTGACTAACAATAAAAATCTCAGAGGAAGAACATTCATAATATTTGAAGCAGTTCCAGAATGCTGGCTTTGAGAGTCTTGTGAAACTTTTGATCCAATGGAGGTAATCCTCGTATCACTGTTATATAACTTACACATTATCTGAAGATCTCGTAGTGACTCTCTAGTCATTCCAGCAAAGAGTAAAACCCAGTCTCAGTGATTCTGACACTCTCGTTCCCTTTCCATGTTACATTTCTTTTTCCTTCTGAAGTCAAGCTTCATTTTTGGCAGAAAAAGGGATCGTCTATAAACATGTGAGATTCCAAATCAAAGGTGCGTTGAGAAGATACAACATAGCAACATTTGAAGCAATTTTTAAGAGTGCATTTTGTTTCTGGGTAAGGAGAGCCAGCTAGTTGTTAGATGTGAGATTCCTGTTGGTTATTTCCCTTAGAATTCATTTTACTGATATGAAATCTACAAGAATTTTTAAATTTGTTTCCTCCTATCACTCAATATTAATTTAAAGGGTCCCCCTAATACCCATGCATTATCAATGTTCATAATGTCTTACCTGATCCTTTTCTTTCCGGTAGTTTTTCTCACCCTGTGCAGACACTTGGGAATAGCTCCTCCCAGCCCGCAGGTGGAGACAATGCAAGTAAACTTTTGAATGATGTCATGCTTACATAAGGGGGGCTTGCTGGTACATTGGAACCCTCACCAGACAGACCGACTTTCACAGCAGGGGGAAAACAGAGGCACCAGCAACTTCAGAACCTTTTCTACTGTAAACTCAGTAACACGATGAGAGCCTGGACCAGCAGGGATGAGTGCCGGGAGAGAAAATGCATCTTGTAACAAGAAATGCTCTTTCTTCTTTTCTACCAGTCCTGAAGCTGTGACATGCCCCAGAGAGTACAGAGTAACGAGACCTTACAGCTCTTGCCACAGCCTGTGTCAGGATATCCTTGGATGTCTAACTTGCAGTGTTTACCACCATAGATCCCCAACTGGTTGTCTTGCAGATTGCTACCAGAGTAGACATGAAGCTACTACCCTACTTATATCAATAACTTTAACACATTCATTTTCTCTGCTGCTCAGAGAGCCTTTTACAATACCCTCCTCTCTGATCCACCTGGTGACAGTAGATTTAACTCCATGTTAGCCCTCCTTGAGGCTTCAGTATAGTACAGGTTGTTTTGTTTGGTTGTTTTCTTAGTGGTGAGGTTTGCTTTAGATTTTCTGAGCTCATCTGACATCCACCCAGGTTATGGAGTTACTCCTCTGCTGTTTCCTGTGAAAGGAAATGTCACCTCTTGGCATATATAGCTGTGGAGGCCTTGTCCAGATGGAGTATGATGAAGAGCTCTTGGCTCAAACTGGCTTTTAATTTCCTAACTCCTCAGGTCAAGCAGAAGTCCACTGAAAATTGAACTTGTAGAAACAGGAAACCTTTCCCATTCTTGCTGGCAAACCAGTGGTTTTCCAACATTCTCATTTTGTTGATCGCTTTCTAAAAGAAATATCCTTTCTTGAACCAAAATCTCCTTCTCTAACTGCTTGGTTCTAAAAGTATTTTATTCTGGAGACTTTAGCAAAGGCTTCTTGGAGGTGAATTAACAAATGTGAAAAATCATTCCCCCATGGTCAGCAGCATGTTAATGACCTTTGCATATACCTACAATGTACCGTCCAGACTCTGTCTTTACACAGAATATTATTTGGGTGTTCAGGAGTCTGTAAATGGCAGTCACACTCCCCAAATTACTGATTGACCTTCTGGATGTCAAGTGCCCCCAGGTTTACCTCAGGGAGCTTAACCTTCTAACATGGTCATTTATCCCACAATGATGACTGCTTCATCCAGCTTAGTCAATATTCTATCATCATTATTGACGAAATGTTACATTTGACATACTACTGGTGCAAACAGTTTGAAAATCTTACTGAAGAGAAGTAACTTCAGAGCTCTCAAGCCCTGTCCTGAAGGGTGAAGGATCAGATTACAGTCCCCTGATTGGTATCTATTAATTAGTCTCACAGATGACACAACTGAGGCTGAGGATGTTGCACTGTCACCAGAAAAATATGCTATTTCAATTTGTTGGAAATGAGGTGCCCTGACACCAAAATGATCAAGAGAGCAACAGGGATGCTGACTTCATGCCAAAGCTGGAAGCAATTGACCTTCTCTCCTTAGCAATGCAACAACAGAGAGGCTGATGCTGCTAGTTAATGAAAATGAAAGTTACTGTATGCGTGTCTCTGTCATATCCATCTAATAATCCTGCTCCAATTCCTTACTGGTTATAACACATCCTAACACACACTACCTCTCTCCTCTCACAGAAGCAAACATACTCCATAAAGTAAGCCATATACAGGATTGTTCTTTTTGAATTTAGATTGAGTATCTCAGCTAGATGCTAATGTAATAAATATAAATACTATTCCCACACTTCCCATATTCTCTCCCTCTTGTGCACTAACACACATTCCTTTTATACACACACACACACACCATGCTAACACAAGTATTACACAGCAGCTCTAGACAATGGGGGACATAGTGATTGCATAACACTGGTTTTTACTTTCTCTCTCAGAAGAGAGATCAGCAACTGAGTGGGCCATGGTGACTGATTCCAAGAGGGGTCTATGCTGATGAGGAGGTTATCAATCCCACTAGTACTAAAATTCATATTAAAAAAAGAGGGCTAATGAAATCAACCCTCTAAACTCTCTGCCCTGTATTCCGCCTTGCTGAATAGCTGGGCCACAAACCCTACTAAAAGCCAAGTTTATATTCCTAAAATGTACCTCGTTTGTTTGTGTTACATTCCTAACTACAGATTTTGCAGTGTCTCATCATGAGGCTTCTTCTCCTGAAGTCCTTGGGAATTGCATGTGGAAACCAGCTGCAGAACCAGGCAATAAACAGGTAAATTTATAAATGATCAGGGCTCTTTATTCACTTCAGTGCAGGTGTTTAACTCCCATTGGCATCAATAGGATGCTAGTGTTATATGTGTACACCTAGGAGAAAATAAAACTCTCAGCAAACAGCATCAGTAGCCAAACTCAGCTCCCCAGGGATCTGCACCACTTCGCCCACAAGGTGGTTTTGCAGAAAGAAAAGAGGCTAATGGAATCCCAATGCTAAATTTGTTCTCTATATCTGCCACCGGAGAAAATGTGCTTTTTGTTTTAACACAGAAAGCAGAGCTGAGGCAGCATGCAGGAGACTCAAACAGAATCATTATTTTGGGTGCTGAGTGGCAGAAAAACAGCATGTGACAGGTATGGGAAATTTCTGATGATAGGATGCCAGAGTGACCGACCTGGCAGGCAGCCTCAGTTAACACAGAGTAAAAATAAATAGGGGAAAATAAATAAATATTCCCCCAGGAAGATCAGCAAATTCATCATAAAACTTCAGCCCAATTACCAGAGCTACTCTCATGCATGCCAAGAGCCAGGAGTGCTGACTCATTGTTTTCTGAGTTAATGCCCTGGTTAATGCCCACGCAGCTCAGTGGATTCAAAGGGGCAGGACAGATTCTTTCCTGGCTCCTGTCTGCTCACATTTTCCTTTACAGGTCAAGATCTCTCCCTGCTCCACAGTGGAATTTATGCTAACTTGCTTCCAGGTGTGGGAAAGCATGTAGTGAATGAAACTGGCTTTTGGGCACTGAAAGAGGGAAATGCTGAAGCTGATAAAAGAATCCTATCCTGTATCAACCCCAGGAATTAGTGCAGGGAGCCCAGCTGCTATCTGGGGATACTGTTATTATTGGTAGTTAGCAAGAGTTAATGTCATTAGACCAGCCAGGGAAAAGCACCTGCCCTTCAGCACATTTTGCAGCCTCAGAGCTGCTATATGGGAGCAGCCTGGTAATCTTCTAGCACATGACAGGATGTCAATAACCTCAGTACCTGTATTATTTAAGCAGAACAAGGTGAGCCTTTGTTTAGCCCTTGGGCTCAGGTCAAATGGATGGCAAAAGTAGAAGCTACAACCAATTAGATTTTCAAAGAGAGAGCGAGAGAATCTATCAGAAGCCTGTTTGGAGGCTTAGCATGCCAGTAGTGCAGTGCTGACCTGTGATTCTAGCCCGACTAACAAAACTCAGGATATTTAGAGGCCTGTGTGACGGTCTCACATGTATTACAATATCTACTAGCCACATGGAAACTCTCTTCTGTATTGTCTGTGAACTGCTGTTCTCTGCTTTTGAGAGCTGTGTGTTTGTGTAGATGAGTCAGTTTCTCTCTGGCCTTTTGCTGTCATCATTATCAGAATGTACTATGAAATTAAAGAGTTTCTGACCTCTCCTGGAAAATATCTGATTTAGAGACAAATCTGCAGGCATGACCGTGTATTTTCTCTCTTCAAAATGGAGAACCCTCAGGTTTTGGTTAGAGATATAAGCAATCTGACTGAACCCTGTACACAGAAAGAAGCTTGTAACCTTCAAAAAACTGACAAGGCTTAACATTCTACCCCAGAACATTGGCAGCAAAAAGAATGTCAGACTATTTCTACATACAAGACGGCATGTACATTCTAGCCCATCTATCCGTGCTTCTGATCAGAGCTGCATGGCTGGGCTACATTGCACCTCTGGGGGGCATGTTCCTTTGGGAGTGGCAGTGTAATGCTTGTATGACTGTCAATACACCTGCCTGGGGGCACAGTCTGTGACTCTACACACCAGTCAGTATGCTGGATGTCCAGGTGGTGCGGTGTCCAATGTCATGTTCCATAGCACTTCACTCTTTCTGCTGAGTCTTTGGGCCTCTCTCTGGTTACAATGTCAGTCATGATTTTCCTATATAATTCACCTGGGTCATGTTCTCTCCTGGCTTCCCATCTTGATTCTCTCTCTTCCCACCTTGATTCTGTCTCTCCTCTCTTGTAAGTATAAAGCAATTGGGATCCTGGGAAAGGCTACCCCACTGAGATTGCTACCATGCTACTCTCCAGCTATGCTGTTTCTATCCCAGGATTAGCTCTGCTCACACTGACTACCTAATGTGCAAACAGGGGCTTCCCACAATCACAAAAAGCTGTGAGAAACCCCTAATCCTTTGTTTGTGGATGCACCAACTAGCTGCCTGGCTGATAAACACTTCACTCCCTATAACTGGTTACTGGGAGTCACCACATGGCAGTATTACAGACAGTCTTTAAGTGGAATGTAAAGGCAGTTCTGGAAATCTTGGGAGAAATGACATGGTGTTAGTTGTGGTTGTGACATTATACTCCATATTCTTTATGAAAATATGCTTGTGGTAGAAATATGACATAACTAAAATATGCTTTATGTGATATAACTCTTGTAAGGTATTATTGCATGTATCATTTCTGTATCTGAAATTAGGAATATTGACAATGTATCTATATTTCAACTGTGTTACTTTGTGTGACGCCCCTGCTAACACTTCAGGTACAACAATGAAAAAGCTAGACAGTGCTGATGACCCATCAGCAAGAGACAGTGGACTGTAAAAGAGCTTAGGATCAGCCTGTGAAGAATGGCTACAGGGGCCCCACAGAGGCATGTGACCTTGTCACCTGATACTGGAACCCATCTTGAATTCTGTACTTTTCCATGAGAAGCTGGGGGAGAGGGGGTGTCAAAATAGGAGACAAAGGACTCCTGCCTTATGCAAATCCTATTTAAGGGTGGGGAGTGAGGTAATCCAGGTCATCAGTTCTCCCCTGCTGCCCCACCCAAGATGATTGCTGGAAACAACTATGACTGAATTGTGGGAAAGAACTGGACCCAGGTTGGAAGGGCGTCTGGCCTGTGAAGAAGATTATTAGATCCACATTTAGGGTGAGAATTTACATGTAACCAGCTTCTTTAGTGTATTAAACTTAGTTTGCGCGCTCTCTTTTATTTTCTTAGTAATCTGCCTTGTTCTGTCTGCTACCTCCTTAACCTGTTATAGTTAATACATTTATTTCTGGTTTACAGTATAACCCAGTTTATGTGATTTCTAACGGGGGGAGAGGGGCGCGAGAAGTTGTGCATACCCTCCTCCACATTGAGGGAAAAGGCGAATTTCGCATAATTTTGGGTTTGTACTCCAAGGGGGGAGGGTGGACATGTGGGTGCTCTGGCAAGCCCCTTAAGCTGAGCCTTCTCAGAGCAGCTCTGTGTCTGTCTGTGCAGCTGCGTGTGGCCCGGCTTATGTGCTTGGCTGGAAAAGGTTGGGGAGCCTAGCCCAGCAAGACCAGGTAAAAGGAGGCCCAGGCTGGCAGAATAGTCTGCCTCAGTGGCATCCCAGCACACCAGGTGACATCCCAGGGGGTCCAACCTGTTACAGGGGTATACCCTATAAAGCTTAAAGATGCAGGTCCTAGTTCCATGCCTAATTACAGTAACAGCTTCAGACTCAACCATTGAACAACACAAGTAACTTTTTCTTTGACTGATCAGCTACTTAAGGAACAACATGCACAGCTAATTTATGAGATAACCCAGAACTGGAGCAGTAACCAGTGTAGTAGGAAAAGAGCCTGAGACATAAGCCCTGTATTAGAGACCTGGTATGAGGAGGACCGGCTTACAGACTCTGGCAAGAACAGGGCTGATATTGCAGAAATACACATTCCTAAGAAGTGCTAGGCACAGAGTGCTCACGCAAACGTATCTTGCTATCAAGTGGTACCAGAAAATCCCAATATCAAGGATGGTACAAAAACATTCCCCAAGTATAACAGGAACACACTGATCCATCCTAAAAGATAAGGTCAGGATGACAGTACATACTAGAGACGTTTTGATTGAACCAACATGTATAAGGTGATGAGTAATAACTAGCCACATCAGGGGGCACTAACTAACTATGCCAGAGGCAGTACGTAACTTGTTTGTATCAGGGTATAAAGATGTATCTCAGAGGGAGTATCTTTGTCCGGCTGAGGGGGGAATGGAAAGTCCTGCCATTCACTGAGCTGCATCCCTTATCATGGGCATACATATCTTTGTATCCTCATAGAGTCTGCCAGGTGCTATTACCATGCTTTGTTGACAATCAGCCTGGCCTGACGCCTTTGTACCTTAATGGATCTTGTGGTCATTGGGCGATTTGCTCAAGATCTGCTGTGCCAGCTGTCTGTGCAGAGCTGCGGCAGCACACAGAGAGAACACACACACGCAGCCAAACATCTAACCACAACCAGCACACCGAGAGTTTTGCATGGTAATGTTTAAACTTTAACAGGAGAACTTCTGCAGTCAGTGAACACTGAGGAAACTAACTATAGATCAAAGGGTTCCTTTAGGCTTCAGCATACTCTGAATCAAAAGTAACATCTAAGAAATAGGTCACTCCAAGGAACAAACAGCTATCCCGGCTTTTTCTTAGCAAACAGCTGTTGTTTCTTAGAGAGCCCAGAAACAATTAGATCTATCAATATAATTCACTGACCAACTAATTGACCTCTCCTGTGTAAAGATAGCATGGAAACCACCACTAATTTTAACCACTAGGTTAGAACAACAGGAATTCCAGGAGCTAAAAGACTCCTCCTTACATTGCACTGACTACACATTCAGTCACCTTCCATTGCACTGAGAACCAAGATCAGGGTTCCCTTAAAAACATATCACAACCAAATCAATGTACATAACTGAGAAAGTGCTAAGGAGTCCTCCAGGCATTGATTGTATGGAGGTTGCTGCCAGGTGGCATCCTAAGGCTTTCTATCTCAACCAAGAAGGTCAGAGACTGGCTGCTCCCCTAATTGTCAGGGTCTCAGTGCCTTTTTGTGCCCTTCCAAACATACTGTTCTTTCACTCTTTTCTTTGGTGCACAGAACATAGCTGATAAATGGTGACAAAAGTCTTCTTGCACGTTCTACAAGGAGAAACTAGTTTTTCTTCTGCAACTTAAACATGTTTCAAGTCTGCAAATGCATCATTGTACAGATTCTCTCTTTCATAGTTACAAGTCCTTCAGCGCTGCAGTGACAAAGAGAAATATTAGGAGTAAGAATTAAAAGTTCACCCCTGCAGAACTTGGACACAGATTCCTAGATTCCAAGGCCAGAAGAGACTACTGTGATCATCTAGTCTGATCTCCTGTACAACACACACCACAAATCTTCCCCAAAATAATTCCTAGAGCAGATCTTTTGTGAAAAAACCCAGTCTTGATTTAAAAATTGTTAGTGATGGAGAATCTACCATGAACCTTGGTAAATTGTTTCAAAGATTAATTACTCTCACTGTTAAAAATGTATGCCTTATTGTAGTCTGAATGTGTCTAGCTTCAACTTCCAGCCTTGGAGCATATTATACCTTTTTCTGCTAGACTGAAGAGCTCATTATCAAATATTTCTTCCCTAGGTAGGTACTTATAGACTGCAATGAAGTCACCCCTTAGCTTTCTCTTTAAACTGAACAAACTGAACTCCTTGTGTCTATCACTATAAAGCAGGTTTTCTAATCCTTTAATCAATGTCATGGCTCTTCTCTGAACCTGCTCTAATTTATCAACATCCTTCTTGAATTGTGGGCACCAGAACAGGACACAGTATTCCAGAGCCAAATACAGAGGTAAAATAACCTCTCTACTCCTACTCAAGATTCCCCATTTATGCATTAAGGAACTGCATTAACCCTTCAGGCCATAGCACTGCACTGGGAACTCACTTTCAGCTCATTATCCACACCCCTCATGCCCCCAAAAAAATCTTTTTCAGAGCCACTGCTTCCACCCATCCTGTAAGTATGGCCTACATTTTTTTTATTCCCAGACGTACACATTTACATTTGGCCATATTAAAATGCATATTGTTTCCTTTCACCCAGTTTACCAAGCGATTTAGATCACTCTGTATCAATGACCTGTCCTTTTCATTATTTGCCACCCCCAATTTACATGTCATCTACAAACTTTATCAGTGATGATTTTATATTTTCTTCAAGGTCATTGATAAAAACTTTCAAAAGTGTTGGGCAAAGAACAGATCCCTGTGGGACTCCACTAGAAACATACTTGCTCATTTACAGTTACACTTTGAGATCTATCAGTTACCCAGTTTTTAATCCATTTAATGTGTGCCATGTTGATTTTATATTATTCTAGTTTTCTAATCAAAATGTTGTTTGGTACTAAGTCAAATGCCTTTCAGAAGTCTAAGTATATTTCCTTTATCAATCAAACTCGTAGCCTCAATAAAAAACTCACTCACTTACTTTGATAGGCTCTGTCTTCCATAAACTCATATTGATTGGCAATAATTATATTACCCTCCTTTAATTCTTGATTAGTCCAGTCCTGTATCAGATGCTCCATTATCTTGCCCCAGACCAATGTCAGAGTGATGGGTCTATAATTACCTGGGTCATGCCGATCACCCTTTTTAAGTGTTGACATAACATTAGCTTTATTCTAGTCTTCTGGAACTTCCCCAGTGTTCCACGACTGAGTAAAAATCCACAATGGTCCAGCGACCTCCTCTACCAGCTCTTTTAAAATTCTTGGAAGCAAGGTATTTAGGCCTGCTGATTTTAAAATGTCTAACTTTTTAGTAACTGTTGTTTAACATCTTCCTGAGATGCTAAGGAATGGAAAGAGTGTTATCATAGGACTCATCACCCTTCCCCCCCCACAAATACAGACCAGAAATATTTTTTGAACACTTCTGTTTTTTCTGTATTATTATTGATAATTCTACCATTCTATGGACAAACACCATTGCTACAATTCTTTTTGTTTCTAACATACTTTAAAAATTCCTTCTTATTGTTCTTAACTCTGTTGGCCACAGATTTCTCCTTGTGTCACTTTGCTTCCCTTATCAATTTTCTACAATTCCAAGCTTCTGATTTATATTCATTACTACCATCATCTTCTTTATTCCATTTGTTGTGTATATATATATATATATATATAATATATAGAGAGCTGCCTTTCCTTCCCCTCTAAACCAGGTTGTTTTTTTAACCAATACGGACTTCTTCCTTGATTGTAGGATTTTGTTTTGTGGGGCGTAAAATATTCTTAAACAATTCCCAATTATCATCCACATTTTTCTAATGAAATTCTTCTTACCACCTGATTTGGCTCATGTTTTCAGCTTTGTGAAATTGGCCCTTTTACGGTACCAAATATGTATATTTCTGGTCTGGACTTTAGTCTGCTTCCACATTATAAATGTAATCAAATCATGATCACTTGTACCTAAGCTACCATTAATTTTTAGTTCTATGATCAGTTCCTCTTTATCTTTCAAGACAAGGACTAATATAGAATTCCATTATGTTGGATGCAACACTTGTTGAGTTAGGAAATCGTCATCTATACGCTTTAGAAATTCCAAGGATGTTTTAGTACTGGCAGCATAAGACCTCCAGCATATGTCACTCAAATTGAAGCCCCCAGTGATCTCACAGGTTTTTTCCCTATACACTGCAGATACACTGTGTGATCAGCACACACCAAATAATACCCCAGAACCCAAGGGAAAAAGAGAAACTTGATGAACCATCATAACAGAAAATGCTGTTGCTTCCCCTTACATTGTAAAGTGTATTTACTCTTGCTGGCGAGGTCACCCAAGGGCAGGTCAACCCAGTCCCCTTAATGCTTGACTGGAAAGTTCCACTAACCACTTAAGCTCCCTGACCATGAATTTGCAATGTACCAGCAGTAATTGTTTAAGAAAATCAAAAGAAAGTAGATACAGCAAGTTTCTGGCCATTTATCAGCCATTTATATAAGTCACTTTTCATCACGCTGAGCCTCAAGAAAAGATAAAAGCAAGAGAATTGATCTGAATATCTATTATTAGATGTGTCACATTACTGAAGCTACAGTTACATTTGTCCTTATGTAATATCTAACATCCCTGCTATTGCTAGACCCTTCCTCATCGTAAGGTGGATCATCATTTACTTATGTTCTGCTTTGATCACAAACATTTCACATTTCCTTTCCGAGGGACAAATTCTGCTCTTGGTGTACCTGTGCAACCCAATTCAACATAAAAAGGCTATATAGGTGTAACTGAGAGCAGAATTCAGCACTAGGTCTTTTTTTTTGGTAAGGTTAACTACTTGTAAAGAACTGTCTTGTGTGTATATACACACACAACAAAACGCCCTATAGGAAGGTACCAGAATATAGGCCAGGCATTCTTACATGTTTCATCATTTCCTTTTCCTGGCTGAGATGCTCTTTTAGCTCACCAGACAAAGACCTGTGCTTCTGGAGTGAAAGGTCATGCATTCTATCCCAAAGACCTTTTATATACAGGTAGCCGTCAACCATAAGTGTCTGTCTGTGTACAGTCATGAATCATTGCACTATGATATTGCCAGAGTGGGCAACTAGTGAAGATTTATAGCACTAACATCACCTAGGGTGTACAGAATGGAGGCTCTCTACAAACATATTGGGCTTCTCTCACCACTTAAACATGGTTGTGAATGACTTCTTGTCTTACAGGTGCAAGTGACATACTGGAGTCAGTGTTACTTTGTCTACTCCTCCAGAGCCAGACATATTCTCCTCTGGCTTCAGAGTGAAAGGAAACTGCAGAAACATCAGATAAAGTTTCAACTCACTGGAATTCCAGGTATTATCTGCTTCAGAGGTTTCTGTAATAACAAAAATCTTTACATGCTGCTGCTGGCATGCACAGCTGTTATGTTCACCTCAACCCACTGAAATCATATTGCCCGCTTAGTTAATGTCCTCCATCCATTTGAAACAGTTACTTGGGAAGTCAGAAGTAATAATGCTGGGATAAGCCCAATACTGTCACTTTTCTGATATCCAGTGTTCTTGAAAAGCAAAAAATGGAAAGTGAATGTAAAACTGACTATTCTCCTGCAGTTACATAGCAAAAACTCACTAGACTACTAATGACAGATTTCAGAGTAGCAGCCGTGTTAGTCTGTATCTGCAAAAAGAAAAGGAGTACTTGTGGCACCTTAGAGACTAACATATTTATTTGAGCATAAGCTTTCGTGAGCTACAGCTCACTTCATCGGATGCATTTACTCTACTACTAATGTGTCCTTAAATGACAGAATCAGAGAACTGAGTTAGCAGCTTGTCTTGATTCACATCTTGAGGGCAGAATCGACACTGTACTCTCAAATGTTACCAAACAAGCTGTATTATTAAAAAATGATGGAGACCATGTCATCCTATTCCTCCTCCTCCCCTGTGAACTTTAAGGGGAAATACTTCCCATTATACACACTTTCTTTCTACCTACCACATCAGGGAATACTAAAAGGATCTGTAAAAGAGTAAGCAACACAATGATGCCAGAAGCAGCAAAAATACTTATGCCTCTTGCTTTTGATACCTTGGAGCTTTGCTTATATGGAAAGTATTATGTGAAAAAACTCAGTCTCTCTCTGGATATGCAGAGGCTATTTAATGATGAAACACCTAGAGATGTCAGGGAAGATCCCCTGCTATAGCTGGCTCTGATCCTTTCTTCCCCATGCTTCAAGATATACAGAATGATTATTGATGTTACAGTCAGAAGGACCCTCAATGCATACTGCACCTCAACTTATTCAATACTGTATGAATCTGGAAAACTTGCCTCCATGTAAATCTACCCCTCTGACTTACACCTGGAAGTATGTAAGTGATCAGAAAGCTAGCCAACACTTAATGAATTAATGCTAGATTTCTCTCTCAAACAATTGGTGCTTATTTCCTTCTCAAGTCAGTCTGCTGGTTGGCAGGATAATAAATTAAAGCCACTATATCCAAGACCTTCACACACGCACACAAACATAAGCAAGTCCAAACTGGTTTGGTCCAATGGTCCGTCTAGCCCAGTATGCTGTCTTCCAACAGTGGATGGTGCCAGATGCTTCAGAGGAAATGAACAGAACGGGCAATTATTGAGTGATCCATCCCCTGTAGTCCAGTCCCTGCTTCTGGCAGTCAGAAGTTTAAGGGACACCAAGAGATGGGGTTGCATGCCTAACCTCTTAGCTAATAGCCAGTGATGGACCTATCCTCCATGAACTTATCTAATTCTTATTTTGAACCCATTTATAATTTTGGCCCCATTTTAACCAGTTATTTATCCATAAGAAGACCTTCCTTCTTATTCCAGGCTCCTTACTTTGCTTTTGGTGCAGGACCTTGTCAAAGGATCTCTGAAAGTCCAGGTACGCTGTATTAACTGGATCATCCTTGTCCACATGCTTTCTGATGTCCTCAAAGAATTCAAATAGACTGGTGAGGCTTGATTTCCCTTTACAAAAGTTGTGTTTGACTCTTCCCCACATTTATGTTCATCAATGTGCCTGATAATTCTTCTCTTCACTATAGTTTTAACCAATTTGTCTGGTACTGAAGTTAGGCTTTACTGGCCTGAAATTTCCAGGATCACTTCTGCAGCCTTCTAAAAAAAATCCGCATTACATTGCTATCCTCCAGAAAACTGGTACAGAGGCTGATTTAAACGATAGGTTATATTCCATAGTAGGTAATTCTGCAATTTCATATTTGAGTTCCTTCAGAACTCTTTGGTGAATACAATCTGGTCCTGGTGATTTATTACTGTTTTATCAGTTTGTTCCAATCTGTTCCAAAACCTCCTCTACTGACACCTCAGTTTAGGAATTTAGGATAGATCCTCAGATTTGTCACCTAAAAAGAATAGCTCAGGTGTGGGAAACTCCCTCACTGAAGAAGATGTGAAGACCGATGCAAAGAATTAGTTTAGCTTCTCTGCAACAGCCTTGTCTTCCCTGAGTGCTCCTTTAGCACTCTGATAGTCCAGTGACCCCACCGATTGTTTGACAGGCTTCTTGCTTCTGATATACTTTACATTTTTTGTACTGTTAGTTTGTGTGTCTTTTGCTAGTTGTTTTTTCAAATTCTTTCTTGGCCTACCTAATTATACTGTTAACACTTGCCGGAGTTCATTCTTCTTGCTATGTTCCTCAATAGGATTTGTGAGGCTGTCATTGAAAGCTGGTTAGATTGTCGGGTTCAACGGGTAGTGATCAATGGCTCCATGTCTAAGTGGCAGCTGGTATCAAGTGGAGTGCCCCAAGGGTCGGTCCTCAGGCAGGTTTTGCTCAATATTTTCATTAATGATCTGGAGGATGGAGTGGATTGCACCCTCAGCAAGTTTGCAGTAAACTGGGAGGAGAGGTAGATACGCTGGAGGATAGGGATAGGATACAGAGGGACCTAGACAAATTAGAGGATTGGGCCAAAAGAAATCTGATGAGGTTCAACAAGGACAAGTGCAGAGTCCTGCACTTAGGACGGAGGAATCCCATGCACCGCTACAGACTAGGGACCGAATGGCTAGGCAGCAGTTCTGCAGAAAAGGACCTAGGGGTTACAGTGGACAAGAAGCTGGATATGAGTCAACAGTGTGTCCTTGTTGCCAAGAAGGCCAATGGCATTTTGGGATGTATAAGTAGGGGCATTGCCAGCAGATCGAGGGACGTGATCGTTCCCCTCTATTTGACACTGATGAGGCCTCATCTGGAGTACTGTGTCCAGTTTTGGGCCCCACACTACAAGAAGGATGTGGAAAAACTGGAAAGTGTCCAGCGGAGGGCAACTAAAAAGATTAAGGGACTGGAACACATGACTTATGAGGAGAGGCTGAGGGAACTGGGCTTGTTTAGTCTGCGGAAGAGAAGAATGAAGGGGGATTTGATAGCTGCTTTCAACTACCTGAAAGGGGGTTCCAAAGAGGATGGATCTAGACTGTTCTCAGTGGTAGCAGATGACAGAATGAGGAGTAATGGTCTCAAGTTGCAGTGGGCGTGGTTTAGTGTGGATATTAGGAAAAACTTTTTCACTAGGACGGTGGTGAAGCACTGGAATGCGTTACCTAGGGAGGTGGTGGAATCTACTTCCTTAGAAGTTTTTAAGGTCAGGCTTGACAAAGCCCTGGCTAGGATGATTTAGTTGGGGATTGGTCCTGCTTTGAGCAGGGGGTTGGACTAGATGACGTCCTGAGGTCCCTTCCAACCCTGATATTCTATGATTTTATGATTCAGTTCCCTACTATTGTTTGTTTGGCTGAAAAGGGCATTTATATGAAGGAGACACTGCAGGACACTTTCTCCTTTCCTGTGTTTTTTTCTTTTGTTCTCAGGCATGGTGCTGCCTGCATGTAATGCAATGAACAAGGCAAGATCCGGACCTTGGTGGATCCCAGGAATGCATCCATCACATTATCGCTACCAAGCTTGCCAGCCCCAATCATCATTTTGATGTTGTATGGGCAGATTAGGTGTTTCTGATCCCAGTCCATCATCAAGTCTGAAATCCCCACATTTCACAGAAATAATATTTCTGTTACATGCAAGACAGGAAGGTATTAAACACACCTCAAATAGCTGAGGTTTGCAGAGTTACATGTAAAATTACCCAAGTGCAAATACTATAGAATCAATCCTGAAGCACTTGCATGAGAGGAAAGTGATCAGGAACAGCCAGCATGGATTCACCAAGGGAAGGTCATGCCTGACTAATCTAATCGCCTTCTATGATGAGATTACTGGTTCTGTGGATGAAGGGAAAGCAGTGGATGTATTGTTTCTTGACTTTAGCAAAGCTTTTGACACGGTCTCCCACAGTATTCTTGTCAGCAAGTTAAGGAAGTATGGGCTGGATGAATGCACTACAAGGTGGGTAGAAAGCTGGCTAGATTGTCGGGCTCAACGGGTAGTGATCAATGGCTCCATGTCTAGTTGGCAGCCGGTATCAAGTGGAGTGCCCCAAGGGTCGGTCCTGGGGCCGGTTTTGTTCAATATCTTCATAAATGATCTGGAGGATGGTGTGGATTGCACTCTCAGCAAATTTGCGGATGATACTAAACTGGGAGGAGTGGTAGATACACTGGAGGGGAGGGATAGGATACAGAAGGACCTAGACAAATTGGAGGATTGGGCCAAAAGAAATCTGATGAGGTTCAATAAGGATAAGTGCAGGGTCCTGCACTTAGGACGGAAGAACCCAATGCACAGCTACAGACTAGGGGCCGAATGGCTAGGCAGCAGTTCTGCGGAAAAGGACCTAGGGGTGACAGTGGACGAGAAGCTGGATATGAGTCAGCAGTGTGCCCTTGTTGCCAAGAAGGCCAATGGCATTTTGGGATGTATAAGTAGGGGCATAGTGAGCAGATCGAGGGACGTGATCGTTCCCCTCTATTCGACATTAGTGAGGCCTCATCTGGAGTACTGTGTCCAGTTTTGGGCCCCACACTTCAAGAAGGATGTGGATAAATTGGAGAGAGTCCAGCGAAGGGCAACAAAAATGATTAGGGGACTGGAACACATGAGTTATGAGGAGAGGCTGAGGGAGCTGGGATTGTTTAGCCTGCAGAAGAGAAGAATGAGGGGGGATTTGATAGCTGCTTTCAACTACCTGAAAGGGGGTTCCAAAGAGGATGGCTCTAGACTGTTCTCAATGGTATCAGATGACAGAACGAGGAGTAATGGTCTCAAGCTGCAGTGGGGGAGGTTTAGATTGGATATTAGGAAAAACTTTTTCACTAAGAGGGTGGTGAAACACTGGAATGCGTTACCTAGGGAGGTGGTAGAATCTCCTTCCTTAGAGGTT